TCAGCTGATACTGGTCTTGGGAAGGGACTGGTTAAATTAATTTAAGCCCATGACTGAGAAACCTGCTCCATTTGGTATGCCCCTCTTCTCTTGGCCTAGAATGATCCCTCATAGCTGTACTCCAAAATTTCTCTGTCTCCTTTATTCTATTGGGTTTCTCAGCAGATTTGACCTCATGGTTGGTGGTCTAAGAAGAGGCAACATCTTGTGAAGTAAATAGAAATGCCTGCTTCTGATCCTGGTTCCTTTCTTTGTCCTAGATTCATTTTTTCCCCCTTCCCTTTCAATTTATGGAGCTTCCCCAAGAAGTAGAATTCTTCCTAAAAGAGAATCTATGTTGGGAAACTCAAAATATAGAAATTCACCAGGAATCAATTTTTTTTTTCTATGTGAGGAGGGAAGAAGAAATACGGATGGCAATGGACTTGAGAGAAGGTTGGGAAGTCCTTTGACCCTTTTCTTGAAGTCTTTATGATGTCAGAGAGGCAGAAAGACATAGTGGATATACAGCTAGAATGGCCTGGATTCAAGTCTTTATACTGACATAATGACTGAGTGATAATCTCTCTCTCAGTGCTCTAGGACACTGGTGTCAAACTCAAATAGAAACACGGGCCACTAAATCATACATAAAGATCCCTTTGGGCTGCACATAGACTTAAAAAACAACATATCAACATTATCAATATTGCATTCTATATTTTTTTTATTTTGTCAAATATTTTTCAGTTACATTTCAGTCTGATGTGGTTAATTTTGCATTTGGTTCTGTTTCCTGTGCAGCATGTTTGACACCTCTGCTCTAGGCTCTAGAATCCCAGAGAAGGTTTCAACCTGCCTTGGTAGAGGTTATCCTTGGGTTTCCTAAATCGTTGAAATCCTAGATCCAGTCCCTATCCCTTTTTACTGGGTTGCTTGACTGAAACTCATTTGCAAGTCAGACATCATTTTTACATAAAATATCAATGCTTATTTGAGCCAAAGTCTGTAGGCCTGCTTAGAACAACTGTTTTTTCCCTGGTAACCTGGGCAGTTCCCAAAGTGACTGGCCTTTGAAGGTTGGAACTTGGCACATTGGACTTGCCAAGGAGTTTGTTTCTCTGTCTGTACTTGTGGCCAAGCTTATTGCTTCGGGTATTAAGATCAGAGGTGGCTTTATAACTTGGCAGCCAGCAATAGGAAAGATTATTTGGTATCTTATCACAGATGCTGTGAAAGCTGATGGGTCCCATAGTAGTCCATAGACAGAGATTTTTAGTAGTCCCTAAATGCATTCAAGTATCAGGATACATGTAAAGAGGGCTTTTGGATGAAACAGATATGGCTTCTGGAAGACTGAGATTTTGCACTAGTAATAAATAGCTTTCCTGTCTACTCTAAAGGAAATGAACCTAGAGAAAACCCTTCAATCATTGCATTGTAAAATGATTGTGATTTGTTTTTTAGCCATAGTTCATCCAGCTCTTTCATTAGCCTCCTGCAAGCTACCACCTTAGGTCTTTCAGCAACATTTTATTTTTGAATTTGTTTAGGAATGATTTTTGGCCTATACCCTGCCCAGGGTATTGAACTGTATATATGGTAAAAAATTTCAAGGTCATATTTGTTTGTCATTAGTTCTTTTTAGTGATTCAAGGTATCCCAGGGATATCTTCTTTCTACCCTCACTGATGCCTCTTACCATTTTTTTTTTTTGTGTGTGAGGCAGTTGGGGTTAAGTGACTTGCCCAGAGTCACACAACTAGGAAGTAGTATGCGTCTGAGGCTGGATTTGAACTCAGGTCCTCCTGACTCCAGGGCAGGTGCTCTATCCACTGTACCACCTAGCTGCTCCCTACCCTCTTCTTCAACTCAGAAAATTGGCCAGTAAAATTAACATAGACATGATTGTAGATGCGATAAAGTAAGGATTCTTAACCGCATTTCAAGAGAATTGATTTCCTCTGTAATCTTATCTATCTTGTTTCATCCATTAAAAATATTATTTTGAGTAGGAGTCCAGGGCTTTACCGAATTGCTAAAGGGGTTATAACACCTGAGCTAAAGGATGTGTAGTAATAGGCAAAGAGGAAAAAGATGAGGTAAAGAATAAAGGTAAGGAATTATGAGGTATTTAGAAAACTCACCAGTTGCCCTGCATTAATGCCTTTGTGTCTGCAACAGTGCAATGGCAATGTTCAGAAATGAAATATATTACCGTTTGCTACCCCACATTCTCAAGCTCTAGAGACTCATTGTGAATTATTGAATTTTATAACTCAGTGAGTAAGTAATGAGCATAATTGGAAATATCAAAGCTTCACGGTATTATACACACAGTAGGTGCTTATGGAAGGGGTTGATGTGGAACTCCCGGTTCAACTTGATGAGGTTACAAGAAGGTAGGCCTCTGTTTGGGATTTTGATTGATTATCCCTGTGGAGGCTGTGTGCATGTGTTTATGGTGAGTTGGCTGGAGTGAGTTTTTGTGAACTTAAGCTTATAAAAACGGAGAGGGGAACTTTTGTGAGTCAGAGCTTATAAAAAGGGGGAGGAGGACCAACTGCAGAGTCAGACTTTTCCCCTCTTTGGAGAGATCTGGAGGGGCAGTGGGTCCTTGGTTTGTGGGTCACTCTATGTGCCCCCATGGTGGCAAAGAGACAGCTAGGAGTCACAATGGATGGAGTGTGGGACATAGGGTCAGTAAGATCTGAGTTTGACTCTTGCCTCAGACATTTACTGGCTATATGATCCTGGGCAAGTCACTTAACACCTTTGTGCCTTGGTTTCCTCAACTATCAAATAGGAATAAAAGCTGTATCTACCTTATAGGGTTGTTGTGAGTATCAAATGAGTTAACATATGTAAAGAGCTCTGTAAACCATAAAGCAATGTATAAATGCTAGCTAATATTATTATTATTTTTGCTCCCTGGGGGCATGCAGACTAATTCTCATCCCATTCCCTCAGTTCTAGAGATGGCAGCCTTTTGGCCCAAAAGATGGTAGCAGTTGGGTGTAATAGAGGATCAGTTCCTGGATCCAGCCATGGATATAGGCAGTGGCAGAGTTAAATGGTAGCAGTAAATTTATGCTGTCATGGCTTTAGCTTTGCAGGTTAGGAGGCTGGTGCTGTCCAGGAGCTTCTCTTTCCCTCTCTGGAACCTTGGACTTCAAGCTTCTCCTCTCTAAGAGGCTGGTCTTGTCCAGGTACTCCTCCTTTTCTAAACAGGAGGATGGGTCTTGAATATTTCTCATAGTTGATATTAACAGGGAATGACACCCCCACCCCCTTAAAAGGTTGGAGTTCAGGTACTCCAACCTTTTGGCCACTTGGTTTCTCTATCCTGGGACATGTGGTTGAGCATGTATGCAAATGCAACAGATCTCAGGTACTACCCCTCCGTGGCTGGGTGCAGACACTTGGCATCCAATATATGAAAACATTCATTCTACCATTGCTCCCATCTCTAGGATTAAAGGAGGAGGGGATGGATAGTAGTCCCCATAGTCCCTTTCCAACCAAGTCTTCTCTCAGGTTTAGTCCCACTTCCCCTGGGGATCTTCCCCAAAAGGGAAAGAAAGGCTTATGGTACCTTATCCCACTTTCTACAGGTCCAGGGCAAAGAGATGACTCTGGCCCACCACAGCTCATGCCAACCAATTCATCCTGAATCAATCCATGCAGCCTCTGCTGGGATATCAGATCAAAGTCTCCAACAAAAGTTTTCTTGCTTGTAACACCATCAAATTGAGCATGGAGTTTTCTGATCAGCCCCCTGTATCAGCACCTACTCTGTGCATGGTACCATGCAGCTTTGATATTTTGAGTTATGTTCATGCTTACTGAGTGATAAAATTCAACAATGATTTCACACAATGGCAAACTAGGTCTCTAGAACTTAAAAATGTGGGGTAGCCAATGATAGCATGTTTCATTTCTGAAAATTCCCATAGGGTAACAGATGGCACAAGAGTAATCCAGAGGCAACAGATGAGTCTTCTAATCACCCAGCAATTCCTTACCTTTATTCTCTCATTCTTCTCCTCTTTCCCCATAACTATCCATTTATCTAGAGACCAAAATCCTCTTTCAGAATTTGGAGTCGGGGGTAGCTAGGTGGCACAGTGGATAGAGCACCGGCTCTTGATTCAGGAGGACCTGAGTTCAAATCCGGCCTCAGACACATAACACTCAGTAGCGGTGTGACCCTGGGCAAGTCACTTAACCCCATTACCTAGCCAAAAAAAAAAAAGAATTTGGAGTCAGTAGACTAGGGGTTGATTCCCCAGCTCTGCTATTTATTACTTGTGTGACTTTGGGCAAATCACTTAACCTCTCTGGGTCTCACTTTCTAAACTTGTAAAATGAGACATTTGGACTGGCCCCTGAGCTTTCTTCCACTCTAATTGTATGTCTCCTTATGTCTCTGCTTTCATTTCTCTCTCCCTCTGGATGTCCCTGAAAAGGAAAAAGAAAGGCCAATTCTTCAACTGCCCCTTTTTTATAACCCCAGTGCAAACGAAGTCTAGAAAATCTATGTGTGTGGCTGCACCCTACAAAATCCTGAGAGAAGTAATTCATCCTCAGTGGATCTGTATAGCCTCTATAAGAAGATGCAAAAAAAGTCCCTAATGGGCTCACCTCCCTTGTAATATCATCCAATTGATCATCAATCAGTCAACAAGTATTTATTAGACACTCTACTTATCAACATGTTATAATAATAACTTGTTGAATTAAAGAGTAGATACATACTTTAAAATTAATTGTGGACCTTTTTATTATATATGATTTACTGTCATTCACCAGGAGATAAAGATTAGATAGTTAACCTCCCCAGATGGCACCACCTAGAACTTGTGTCTTGAAAACAAATGGGATAAACTGTGCAACTTCAGGACGGTGTTCAGTTTGATGGACTTCAATCTATGCTATGCCTCATGCAGGTCAAAGGCTATGATTTATGATGCTTGCCTCATTATAACTAAAATCCAATTGGAATTTCTTGCAATTCTCAGCTAGAAATGCAACATGGATTCACGGTGTTTGCCATGGCTTCTGCTGGGTGAGGTTCTCTTTGTGTTTTCTGGCCTGGTAAGTAATCAAAAGGCACATACTGCAAGATATATAGAAAGTAAAGCAAAATTAACATACTGGTGGGCAGGTGGGGCAGTGGTACCATTAAAGCTTGTTTAATCATTGCTTTTTTTTCTTTCCTGTGAATCAGGTCAGGGTTAATGAAATGAGTGCTTTTCAGGGCAAGTAGGGAAAATTTGGGATAGATTGGCTGATTGCAGGGGGCTGAGGAAGAAGAAGGGATCCGAGAGAGGACTGGGGCCTAAGACACTTTGGTATGGCTGGTTTTGTTTTGCTTCACTGTTTCAAAACTAGCTTTTGCTAATATAGAGGAAAAGGGAAATTTGTTTTAGTTCAAATTCTGGTATTGACTGATGACATATTTTTTTTAAAATTACTTGAGTAATAATTCCAACCTGAGAGCCTGGGCTGAAGACTGTGAATGGCCCAGCAGAGTAAGAATTCTTTTCTGCTCCCTCACTAGCTTTAGCCCAACCTTGTACAGGTAGAGAGGTACCCTGTACCAGCTGAATATGGACAGACTAAAACACTAAAGTATATTTCAAAGGCTTGGAAAGAAGTCTGTAGTTACAAATTTAAAATAGCAGCCAAATTGACAAGTGGAATTCACAGTCTAAAACCTGTTACTCTAGCATTGAGAAGAATGGATTTTTTATGACCATACGCAGGAATTAAAATACTATAGCTATTTAAAAAATGGAATGGATTGATATTCCATTGTACTTGCTTGTATAAAGGTAAAGAACGATATAGACATAAGAAATTATCCTCTTTTAAAAGAAATATTATATCTAAAAGAAATGAATGTCTTAAAACCCACTACTCAACACATATTGCATATGTGTATTTGTGTGGTTGTGTATTTCTGTATACACATGTATTAATGGGTGGAACAGCATGTTAGTGTCAAATATGGTGACATATTGTGTGCAATGGACAGTTATTTTATAGCATTAACTGAAACTGCCAACTCTTTTCTTTTGCTTAAAAAATCCACAGATTGACTATGATTCTGTATTTCATATTGTGGTCATATGAACCAAAGAAATGGACTGAGGCATAAGCAATTTGCTGTTTTGGAACATCTGAACAACTGACTTGGATTGATACATGGTCAAGCTAATTGTGACACAGTACTCTAAAAATATTCAAACACAATAGGACCTGATGGATTTGGTTTTGATTTGTAGCTATTGTCATGGTCAGGCTAATTAAAATTTCTGGGTAGGTATCTGGGTGATATATCCTTCTTGACAACTGAAATCAAATGGGAGATATCAACAGCAGTCACCCTTGGTTCCACTCAGATCTTCATTGTGTTCCTACCCCTTGTTTCTCTCTCATGAATGGATTCAGACTACTTTCATCACTAACCTTTAAGGTGGCAGTGATTTTGTCTTCCCTCAAGGCTAATCCAACTGCTGCCACTTCCACTAATTCAAGGATTGTTTCCCTTTTACACACCACAGCAATCAGTTGAAGTTACCGCCCTTTCTGCTGTTTTGGACCACCTGGAGAGTGAGCCATAAGGCACTAGCAAGAAAATTTCCTTTGAATGATGCTAGGCTCAGGGAAAGGAGAGGGAGGAAATTTGAAGCTGAAAGAAAGTGGAAGAGGAAAAGTGGAGTGTGAGGAAAGAATGCAGTGTGAAGGAGTGAAAAGTAGATGGACAAGTAGGATAGACTAGGTGGGGATAAAAGAGCTATCATTACTGTCCCACCCTTGAAAAACTCTACGCCTATAAAATCAATACAATTCACCAAATGCTTATTAAACTTCTACTATGTATAATACACTGCATTAGCCATTGGAGGCACAAAGACAAAAGCCAAACAGTTCCTTCTCTCAGGGAATTTATGTTCTATTGGGAGGATGTAGGAAAATGGAAAATTTATACAAGGTATTATTAAAGCAAGTCCTACTCCTTCCCTCCTGTATTCCTCTGTCCCATAATCTGGCATCATGGACGTTTGTCTGCTCTACTCTAGGAAGGTAGTCCAATCCCCAACATAGCTCTTGTCTTTAAAAACTTGATTGATGGGTGAAATAATGCTCAAAACATCTTCCCTGTTCATGTGATTTTTGTCTGTTTTGAAATGAGTCTGTTCTTCACTTGACATTTTTTTAAGGCAATTAGGGTTAAATGACTTGCCCAGGGTCACACAGCTAGTAAGTGTCTGAGGCCAGATTTGAACTCAGGTGTTCCTCACTCCAGGGCTGGTGTTCTATCCACTGCGGCATCTAGCTGGCATTTTGAGCCTGTTTTCAGAAATTTCATTTTGTTCTGATGCATACTAATTGATTAAAAAAATTGGGTTGTTTGTCTAAAGAAACAAAAGAACTGAGGAAAACATGACTACACAGTATGTTGAGTTTTGAGGCATTCATTACTTTTACGCATAGCGTATTTTAAAAAAATAATTAATTTCTTTCTTTGTTATATGCATATAGTACTTTGCTGATTACAAAAGTCTTTCACATATCTTATTTCATTTGAGCTCTGTAAAAATATTGTGGCAATAGGTAGATCTAGTATTCTTATTCCAGTTTCACAGATCAGGAAACTGAACTTCAGAGAAGGTAAGTTTCTTATCTCCAAAGTTTCACAGGTAGTAAGTAGCAGAGTACCAAGTCTGCTGACTTCACAATTAGTGTTCTTTCACTACTATATTTCTGTTTGGGGAATGAACCTGCTGGATTGTTTAACTTTACATGAACCTATTAAAAAGACCTCTCAGTATGAATTTACCACTTCTTCAAGTATTTTATCTTGCTTTTGGACAGCTCTGATTTTTGGAAGTCTGTCCTTATATTGAACTGAAAAATGCCTCTTTGCAGTTTCCCCCTAATGCTCATATTTCTGCTTCTAGGGCCAAGCATTTGGATTCAATACTGTAACCCTTCAAATCCTTTAGGGCAAGCTTTCTTTCATGTTCCCTCAAATATCCCTCAAAATAATTATTTCCATTTCTTTCAATCAATCCTTGAATAAAATCATCTCCAGGCCTTTCATCTCCAGGCCTTTCACTATTCTGGTCACTATTCTCTAGAATCTCTCTACGCTGTTAGTGTTCTTCCTAAAATGTGTGCCTCAAACTGAACTTCAAATGGTGTCCAAGAGCAGATGAAAATGGAGCCATCACCTCTTTGTTCATTCATTCTTACCTAATGGGATTCTTTTTAATTTACAAAGTCAATCTTGATTTCTTTACCTCCCCAGCAAAACATTTTATTGCTATATCTTCTTATATATCTTGAATTTCTCAGTGTATCCTCCCCTGCACAAGAAACATCACTTGTAACGGAGAATAAAGATGAGAAAAGAAAAAGGAAAAATTTAGCAATACCAAACAACACATCAACAAATTGTGTGATATGAAGTTTTCTACACCCATAGTCCCCCATCTCTGCAAAGAAAGATGGGCAGTATGTTCTTACATCACTTCTTGGAGGGCAAGGTTGATCATTACAATTTCATAGCACTCAGCTTCAAATACTTTTGCTCTTATGGTTTTATGTGGACATTATTACAATCATTATGAATATTGTTTTCCTGGTTCTGCTTATCTTAATTTGTCTCAGTTTATAGAAATTTTCCTATATATCTCTGTAGTCAACATATTAAAAATTTTTTAGAGCATAGTAATAATATTCCATTATATTCTTATACTACGACTTGGTTAACCATTTGCCAACATGTGGTTATTGATGTTGTTCTTTGGCATTAAAAAAAGCGTTGCTATGAATATTTTGATGTCTATATGAGAGGAGGCGCTTCCTTTTTTCATTCATCTCCTTGGGTTGTATTCCTAGCAGTGATATTCCTAGCAGCAAAGTGTATGGACATTTTCATGACTTTCTTCACATTATTCCAAATTACTTTTCTGAATGGCTGGATCAAGTGATTGTTCCACAATGGTACATTAGGGTGCCTCATGGTTTAAGAAAAGTTTTTAAAAGACAAATAATCATTCAAGGAAAACCTCAGTGTAGATTCTCAAATTTCATGAAGATTAGTTATCAAAGAGCAAACAGTGCTAGTGAGGTAACAAATAAATGCTGACAGTAAGACCAAGAAAAGCACTGATAAATCTTGCGTGTCATGATAATATGTTCTCTTCTCTTTTTTGTTCCTCAGCCAACCTCAGAAAACTTTGGTGAGTCATCTGTTGACTTCTCGTCTTCTTTAGCACTTTCAGTGACACATGATTTCATGTATGGGTATGGCTATTAGATGGTACAATTGGTGAAGTACTGGATTTTGAGTCAGGAAGGCTTGAGTTCAAATTCTGTATCAGATACTTCCTACTACCTTTTTTGGCCTCAATTTCTTCATCTGTAAAATGGGCATATTTGCACCTACCTCCCAGAGTTTCAGTGAGGCTCAAGTGAGATAAAACTATGTAAAGCACTTTGTAATACTTAATGTGCTACATAAACACTAGCAATTATTATTATTTTTCCTCCACTGGTACATATTAAAACTCCTCTACATCTTAGTGGATGGCTTTTGTGTCACCTATGGCCCCCATAATTCATCACCTGATGGACAACCCTCTGTTGAGAAGCCCCTCCAAACTGAGCTAGCCTACCGACTGCTGGGCCCATAACAAAGAAACATTGAAAACCCAGGGTCACATCTAGAGTATGAGTTGAGTTGAGGGAGTTCTAGTCTTATTTATGTTAGATGAAAAAGAAAATAATCCCTACATGATAACCATCACTATCCCTCTTGAATATTTAAGTATTGTACCCAAAGCTGAATGACCCCATTTTATGTACCAGGACTTCAGCAGTAAGTAATAATAAATTGGGAACACATTACTGTGGTTGGATGGTGCTTGGATGAAAACACTGAGCTGTAGCAATAACAAAATAATAATAATAATAATAATAATAATAATAATAACAAATTGTACTATTATGGCATTTTAAGATTTGTGAAGCACTTCATATATGTTATCTCACCCGTTACAATCTTGTTGTAAGGTATGGGGAAGGGGGAGATCGATTAAACATTTATATAGTGTCTACTATGTGCTAGGTAGTGTGTTAAACCCTTTATAAATATTACCTAATTTAATAATAATCACATCTACCCAATAGCTACCTATAAATCAGATGCTATTATTAAATCTTACTTGTTTTGTTTTTGTTCAGTTGTTTCAGTCTGATTTTTTATAACCCTATTAGGGGTTTTCTTGGCAAAGATACTGGAGTGGTTTGCCATTTCCTTCTCTAGCTCATTTAACAAATGAGGAACAGAGGCAAACAGGGTTAAGTGACTTGCCCAGGATCACACCTAGTAAGTTTCTGAGGTCAGATTTGAACTCAGGAAAATGAGTCTTCCTGGTTCTACGCCCAGCACTACGCTACATAGCTGCCCTGATTGTTAGGTAAATGCTATTATTATCCCTATTTTACAGATGAGGAAACTGAGGCTTAGGTTAAAGAACCTGTCTAGGGTCACACAGCTCATCTCTGAGGTTAGATTTAAATACAGGACTGTCTGGTTCCAAGCCCAGTGCTCCATCTACTATACCATGCTGTTCCCTTGAAATTATTGGCAAGTCTTGTATATCATGATAGTACCTTTTCTTATATCTTCTAAATAGTATGTGAGTTTGATGGGCTGTTATATCACTCAAGCCTTACACCCCCTTCCCCCGACAGAGCTGGAAAGATGGGCTCTGTCAGATAAGATGGATCTAATATTACATTCCACTCCTATTCAGCTGTACTCATATAGAGTCATCAGAAAAATTGTGCTTTTTCCCCTCTAGGAATTTAGAAGGCAATTCAGGCTTATCCTGGAAGCTTTCGTCTGTACCATTTACTAAAAGCTCCAGTCTGTATTGAAGTGTTCACATATGGACAAGTCAAGGCTGACTGCATCAGCCTGCAGCACTTGGTTCCAACTTGGTTCCAATTCAATGCAGACTGTCTGTGTCAATGGAATCTCTTCCAAATCTGGCTTCCATCTTGCCCAGAGGGATCCATTTGCTTTATCAGCTGCATTGATTTATTCCTAAAGGCAGTCAATGCTCAAGGGAAACAGGAAAACAGAGTACATGATGTGACCCAGTAGGATGAGCTGCAGTTTTATGGTGAGGTGACCTAAAGATTTTCTCTCCTCCTAAACATATAAGCCAAGGTTAACCTTTGCTCTTCTGATTTTTGGTCTTTTTAGTAATAGATGTAGATGGCGGCAAGGACGAGGACATATTTGACATCAATGAAGGTTTGTGGATTTCTTTCCTTTGAAAATCCCACATGCTTGTATAGGGTTCTGCCCATTTGCTAATATCGGGTCTTCTCTTGCTTACTCAGCTTTGGGACTGAACCTTTTTGAGGGAGACATCAATCTTGAGGGGGTGAGTTGGCGCGATACAGTTCTATCAATGATTCTATTCGCCAATGATTCTGAAGCTAATCTACCAGCTCGAGGGTATGTTAACCCTAATTTGGAGGTGGCACAGAATCAAAGGAAATCATTTAGTAGTACATTTGCACAAGACTTCATACACAAATTGTTCTGGGAAAGATGACTGGATTCATGTTCTTTGGGTTTTTTTGTTTTGTTTTTGTGAATTCATGTTAATGCCATTATCTTTCCCTTACTGTGATTTGCTATAAATTATTTCCAAGACCATGATCATTAGCCATATGTAGTTGGACTGCATTGATCTAGACTTCGACAGGCTTAAATTTTTTTTTGATAACTTGTATTTTTACATTGCTTTCGTTTCCAAATATACGCCTTTCTTCCTTCCCTGACCATTGAGCCATCTCTTGTAGGAAAAAATAAAAAAGAGGGAGGAAAAAGCAATTCAGCAAAACTGATCGACATCAGTTGAGTTTGATAGTGTACAGATAATGCCCTATCTGTGCAAGAAAAGGAGAGAGGTACATTTTCTCAACTCTTTTCCACAACAAGCTTCTTGGTCATTATAATTATACATAGGCTTGATATGCTTATATCAGATTGTCAGCGTGGAAGGTTTTAATCATACAATAAAACCTTACTAATTCAGATGAATTAAAGGAAGGTCAGTTCAAATTAGTTTTTTTAAGAAGTCTAAACATGAAAATACTTTGAAAGGGCATAGTTTATTAATTTTAATAATGTCTGTCAATCAATGATCATTTAGTAAGTATCTGTATATGTGACTCATTGTGCTAGGAAAAGATACAAAAACAAAAATGGAAATGTCTCTATCACCAAGGATTTTGTGTTCTACAATAACAAAAACTAAGCTAATAAAATGTTGCTTCATAAAGATCCTACCAGATCTATATAATGAAGAGTCATGAATAATGATATGATAGTCAGCCAATCAGTAATTGGCACATTGTTTAATGAAAACAGGAACAGTCATAGCAGGGTTTTAAGAGTGCTTGAAAACACTTTATTTACTTAACCACTGTAAACACCTAGCGCTCTTTCTCTCTTAAATATTTATTTACTTAGCACACTTCATTTTCATGTCTGAAGTATCATGAAGTCTGAAATAGGGTAACTTGAATGTGCTTTCGCTATTTGAATATAATTATTTAGCTATATTGGGGCAAGAAACTTCATTACAGCTTTTCTGCCAATGGTGATTGGATTTCTCCTATAATCAGTGCTAGACAAGCTTTGCATCACTCTTTTCTAAATTGTCTTACCTAAAATCAGTGCTACCAATGCATTTTTCTCCTCCTGACTGACCTCTTAATCAATTGCTGGAAAACAACATTCATACAAGCAGAGATGATTTGTTTCTTTTGGTGTTTGGGAGATTCCTAAACTGCCTTTTTTTCCTGGAACAAACTCCTATCCTTCCCCAAGTTGCTGCCTAATCTCAGGATAAACAAATTCTGCGTTTATTTTACTTTTCAGAGAGAAAGAAATTCCATTGTTGGTGATCAATATAGATGGCCTCACATCATTCCTTATGTTCTTGAAGACAGTCTGGGTAGGTCTTGTCCTTTTCACCCTCTATTCCAGACTCTGGCCTCGTTTGAGCTCCAGGCTATAAGTGACAGGAGCTGTTGAGTTCAGACCCCTGTTAGTTGAAGACAGAAATACTTTTATTTTTTCCACCCCAGAATGGAGGTGGGCTGGGGAGACAAATGGAGACAGGCACAGAAAACGTAGCTCTGTCTCTATCATTCAATTTCATAAAAGTAAGCTATGATTGCCAAAGTCCCTTCTAGTCCTAAGATCTCTAAATCCTATGACCTGCAGGTACATGGCCCCTCTCCAGAGTCAGTTAAGTGAAAGACTGATATGACTGGTTAGGTGTATTAGATAAATAACCAGAAGCACAGCTAATATATTTCTATTTAAAATTAACAAAACATTTTCTTTTATTACTGTTTCAAAACAATTACCAGAAGAGCCTATTGGAACTCTACCTGTTATTATTATTGATGGAACTTTCTAAAATTGGAAGAAAGAAATGCATTTTATCACCTATTCTCTATATAGAATAGAATAGAGATAATGAATAGAAGAGCTGTTATGGGTCTATAAAGTTATATAGAATAGAGTAGCTATATATACATATAGCTATATATGTATAGGTATACATATAAAATATATACCTATAATAACGAAATAATCACTCAAAATTCAGGACTGTTTAGGTGTTTTTAATTGAGAAAAAATATTTATGCAGCACCTATTTTGTTCAATGAGGCAATGGGGAAGAAGAATTTAATAAAAGTCAATAAGTATTTATTAAGCACTAAGCATGTGCCAGGAAGTTGATAAAAATTTATTAAGCCCTTACTTTACACAAGGCATTGTTTCAAACTCTGGGTATGCAAAGAAAGGTAAGTGGCCATACTTTTTCTCAGGGAACTTAAAGCAGAATGGGGGAGAATTGAACTATGTACAATCAAGCTCTACTTAGGACAAATTTGAAATGATCAGGAGAGGTAGGTCACTAGAATTAAAGAGACAGGTACAGTGTTATGCTCTGAGGATACAAAGAAGGAGCTCACATTTTAATGGCAGGGGGCACAATATCCAAAATAAATCTACATACAAGATATTTTTAGTATAAGTGGAAACCAATCTCAGAGGGAAGGCACTAGTCCTGGATGGGTTGGGGGTGGGGGAAAGGACTCTTACAGGTGTTGGATTTGACAACTGAGTCTTTAATGAAGCCAGGGTAGCCAGGAAATGGAAATGAATGAGGAGGGCAATCTATGCTCAGTTTGGGGAGTGGGGCAGGTGTGGGAAAGACAGAGAAAAGGAGATGAGTGTCTGAGGAATAGCAAGGAGGCCAGTGTGGCTGGATCTTAGAGAATGTAGATAGGAGTAAAGTATAAGAAGACTGGCCAGGTTGTGAAGGATGCCACTGAGTTTATCAAATAGGGAGATGACCTGGTCAGATCTGGGCTGTAGGAAACTCACCTGGGCAGCTATATGGATGATAGAATGGAATAGGGGGTGACTGAGGCAGGTAGACCAACCAGCAGGCTATTGATAATAACTCACATTTATGTTGTTATTTATAGTTTACAAGCCATTTATATGACTATTTCATTTGATCCTCACAACAACAGTTTAAGTAGTGGGAATGTTATTATTTCCATTTTGTAGATGAGGAAACTTATTCTCTGAAAAGTTAAGTGCCACACAGCTGGATCCAATCTGAGTTTGCTTCTGCTACACCATTGTCTAAATGTACTGGGTCTCAATGGGTTTATGATATACTTGAAGAGCTCCTAATCTATTGGCCTAAAGTAGGAAAATGACAGCAAAGGAGTGACACAACAGTGCTTATAAGTAAACTGAGAAGAAATATTGATCTGAAGGAAGGATGGAGTGGAAAGAGCAGAGAGTAGAGAGTGTAAGAACTGTTAGAAGTCTATTGTCATAGCATATTGACCAAAATTTTTACAGGGTAACTCCATCTGGTAGATAGAGTGCTGGGCCTAGAGTCAGGAACACCTCAGTTCAAATTTGACTTCAGACATATACTAGCTTTGTGACCCGGGGCAAAGCACTTAGCCACTGCCTGTCTCAGTTTCCTTAATTGTAAAATGGAAATAATAATAATGCCTACCTCCCAGGGTTGTTGTGAGGATCAAATGAGATATTTGTAAAGCGCTTAGCCTAGTGTCTGACACATATGAGTCACATAATAAATACTTCTTTAATAAGGTAATGGTGGCAAGAGAGAAGAGGAAACAGGTTTGAGATATGTTTCAGGGGTGAGATTCCCATCATAAGGATAGGGATATGGACTGGATCTGTGATTTCATTAGTGCAGAGAACTTCCAAATTATGAAGCTCCTTCCTCTATCAATGCAAGCTGGCAGATTCTTTGCAACTTGTAGTCTTATTTATTTATTTTTTTTGGTGAGGCAATTGGGGTTAAGTGACTTGCCCAGGGTCACACAGCTAGTAAGTGTCAAGTGTCTGAGGTCAGATATGAGCTCGAGTCCTCCTGACTCCAAGGCCAGACCTCTATCCACTGCACCACCTAGTGCCCCCACAATTTGTAGTCTCAGAGAGTTGATTAGATCACTGAGAGGCTAGGTAACTTGCTCAGGGGCCCCCAACTAGGACATGTCTGAGGTGGGACTTGAACCCAGCTGTTTCTGACTCTGAGGCCAGCTCTTTAGCCATTGTCTTTCAAAGTGATTAGAGTTGAGAGCAGGGCAGCTAGGTGGCACAATGGATAGAGTGCTGGGCGTGGAGTCAGGAAGACTCATCTTCTTGAGTTCAAACCTGGCTTCAGACATTTGCTAGCTGTGTGACTCTGGACAAGTCACTTAACCCTATTTACCTCACTTTCCTCATCTGTAAAATGAGCTGGAGAAGGAAATGGAAAACCTCTCCAGAATTTTTACCAAGAAAACCCAAAATTGGGTCACAAAGAGTCAGAAATGACCAAAAGAAATTACAGATAGAGTTGAGAGATGAAGGAGCAGAAAGAGTTGAGGATAACCTCGAGGTTATAAAATGGAGTGGATGATGGTACTGCTGACCTATATAATGATGTAAAAAGGAGGAACAGGTTTATAGGGAAGATGACAAGCTCATTTTTGGACAAGTTGAGTCTGAGGTACAGGTGAAACATCCAAGTAGAGAGGTCTTGTAGACAGAGATATGAGTCTTTAGCTAAGAAGAAGCGTTTAGAACAAGTTCTGGCTCAGTGGATAGAGCAGTGGGCCTCAGGTCTTGAATTCAAATCTGACCCCAGAAGCTACCTATGTGATCTTGGGCAAGTCACTTAACCTGTTTGCCTCAGTTTCCTTAATTGTAAAATTAAGACCAGAATAGCACCTACCTCGATGTTATGAGGATCAAATGAGATAATTGTGAAAATGCTGAGCACAGTGCTTGGTATGTAGGAAGCACAATATAAATGCTAGTTCTCATGATGATGATGATGATGATGATGATGATGTTTAGGACTCATCTGCACAGAGGCAGAAGTTGAAGCTAAGGAACTGAAAGAATCTGCCAAAAGAAAGAAAGAGAAGAGTCCCGAGGACAGACCATTGAGGTATACCCATGTTAAAGGATTAGGATAAGGATAGGTAACAAGTGAAGAAGACAGAGAAGGAAAGGTTAGAGGCAGGAGGAGGACTAGGAGGATGTGGTATCTCTGAAGCCAAGGAAGAGAAAGTGTAAAGAAAGAGGGAGCCATTTATAGTGTCAAAAGCTGCAGAGTCCAAAGATGAGACCTGACAAAAGACCTTTGGCTTTGATTATTGTTGGCCTTTGAGAGACAGGTTTTAGCTCAGGGGGAAAAGGCCAGCTCTAAAGCCAGGATCCTGTTGGTGATTAACAGGCACTGTTTTTATCTCCTCTTTTTCTTCAGAAATAAATGCTAAAGGAGTTATCCTGAATGCATTTGAACGGTACCGTTTAAAAACCTGCATTGACTTTAAGCCATGGGAAGGTGAAGCCAACTATATTTCAGTGTTCAAAGGAAGTGGGTAAGAGAGAGATCTGACATTTTAAGAACTTCCTGAAAACTGAGGGTCTTTAGCATGCTCTAAATCAGAGTAATTACCTCCAGGACCTTATCTTTATGTATTGCCTATGTTTGACTTGGGCAACTAGGCAGTGCAGTGGATAGAGTGCCGGGCCTGGAATCAGGAAGATGAGTTCAAATCTGGCCTCAGACACTTCCTAGCTGTGTGACTCTGGGCAAGTCACTTAATCCTGTTTGCCTTAGTTTCTCATCTGTAAAATGAGCTGGAGAAGGAAATGGCAAACACTCCAGTATCTTTGTTAAGAAATAACCAAATGGGGTCAAGAAGGAAAGGTACAACTGAAAACAAGTGAAATTCAGAAAAATGTTTGGCTTGTACCTGAAAAGTGGCTCAGGGAGACAGGGAAGGAGGAGGTGGTACCGATCTTGTTAAAACAAATAACAACAAGCCAAAATAAACAAACAAAATCCTGAGATGTATTATGTACTTATCTCCAATACCTACAGCCCCAAACACCCAAACTGTCAACATGGAAATTAAGAGGGGGATTTTCCCTCCTCTCTCTCTCTCATACACACACACACACACACACACACACACACACATCAGCCCAAATTTGTCAATTAAATTCAATAATTGTTTGTTGAATGGAATCTTTCCATATTTTGTCCACAAGAGTCAGTGTGATATGATGGCTATAGAACTGATTTTGAGGCCAAGGGGACCTAGGTTCAAGTTTTGTGTATGGTTATGAGACCATGGGCAAGTCAATTAACTTCTGAATGCTCTAGCCCAGAGTTTTCAATCACCATGTATCTCAATCACCCTCAGTGCAGCCTGAACCAGTTTAAAACATAATGGGGTAATATATAACAAAATAAATCAAAATGCGATAAAACATAGATAATATTGATATGGGTTTTATAAGTCAGTTTGTGCTCAAGAATACTTACGTATGGTTTAGTGGCCTCTGTTTCCACCTGTATTAGTGGAGAGTTTCCTCCCTTGGGAAGGAATCCCTAGATAAACAAGTCCAGTCCCTATCCCTATCCCACAAGCATACTTTGAGAGACTTTGTCAAATGACTTACTAAGTCGATTTTATTTTCCTGAGCTACCAGTCAATAAACATTTCATTCAATAAACATTTATTAAACAATTACTATGTACCAGGCACTGTACTAAATTCTGGGGATACAAATAAGAAAAAAAAAGAGATAGTACTTGCCTTCAAGGAACTTATAATCTAATGGGAGAAGGCAACACTCAAAAGGAAACTGGAAAAGGGTGAGAAGTCGCATCACCAGGGGGTATCCTGCACAGGGGCATAATGCTGCCTTATTTAAACAATCAGAGCTGCAGATGGAAAATAGAGAGTAGTCTGGTCAAAAAGGAAATGAAGTTATTCTTGCATTTCTTGTTTGTAATAAGCCAATGTTGGCTCATATTCATCGTTTTCCCAAGTTCTCTCAGCCCATATATTGAAAAATTCATTCTAGAACTGCATCCATTGTTGATCTTAATGTTCAGCTCGTTAGTCTATAGTTTTAACCATCTGTTCTCTATCCCTTTGATAGAGAATTTTACAGGCTATAATTATCTCTGGCTTGTCTTTGGTCATATTGCTAATCCATCTTTGAACTCTATTTGAGGGCTAATTGTCAGTGCTTAACCATGCCAAATAATCATGACTTTTACCATTTTCTCCAGCTGATATGTAACTTTTGCATTTAATGTCAGTTATCTTACCACTTTGTACCTTGTTTTTAGATGCTATTCTTCAGTAGGAAATATACGTGTTGGCAAACAGATAATTTCCATAGGAAACAACTGTGACAGAATAGCAACAGTTCAACATGAGTTCCTCCATGCCCTGGGATTCTGGCATGAGCAGTCCCGTTCAGATCGAGATGATTATGTCATGATAATGGAAGACCAAATTCTGTCAGGTATGGTTTCCTTGCTTGCTTTTGTTTCAGGGAATTTAAGACTAGACTCAAGTGGTTGTACCCCCTTCCAGTCATTAGTAGATCAACAAGCTTTTAATAAGCACTTATTATGTGCCAAACATTATGCAAAACACTGGCAATCCAAAGGAGGACAAAAAGGTAGCCCCTGCCCTGGAGCAGCTCAAATTCTAATGGGGGAGACAACATGCAAACAACTATTTGCATTCAAGGTATATATAATGTAAATGGGAGGCACTCTCCTAGAGAAGGTACTAGCAATGAGAGGAAAGGCCAGTCCTAAAATGTATGATTTGAACTGAGTCTTGAAGGCAACCGGGAAGCCAGGAGGCTGAGATAAGGAGGATGAGCATTCCAGGTATAGGGGATAGCCAGTAAAAAGGCATGGAGTCAGGAGATGGAGAGTTACATTCAAGAAATAGCAAGAAGACCATTGATGCAGAATCACTGAGTATATACAGAGGAATAAAGAATAAGAAGATTGTAAGAGTAGGGAAAGGTCAGACTATGAAGAGCTTTAAAAGCCAAACAAAGGATTTTATATTTGATCCATTGGTAATAAGGAGCTGAGTAAATAGATATGGGAATCATCTGCTTAGTGAATTATTTGTGATTATGGAATCCTTATGAGCTGATGAGATCACCAAGCAAGTTAGTACAGGCCAATGTGACGATCAGTGTTGGTGGTCATTATTTGGAAGATAGTACAGCAAAGGAGACTAAGAAGGAGGAGTCAGATCAGCCCCAGGAGAATCAAGAGAGAGGAATGTCATGAAATCCCAGAGAGGAGAGAGTGTAAAGGGGAAGAAGATAATCAACAGTGTCAAACAGAAGTCAAAAAGGAAGAAAATTGAGAAAAAAACCACTAGATTTGGAAATTAAAAGATCACTGATAACTTTGGAGAGAGTAGTTTCATTTGAATGATGAGATCAGGATCCAGATAGCAGAGAATTAATAAGAGAGTGAGAGGAGAGAAAGCACAGAAAGAGCTTATAAGACATTTAACAACAAAAGGAAGGAATGATACAGTTGAACTAGATGGTCACTGAGGTCCCTTCCAACCCTCCAATTCTGTGATCTCTGGCAGTCATTTAACTTCATTGAACTTTAGTTTCCTGATCCACAAAATGGGAATATGTATTGTACTGTGTATGCTACTGGGCCATTGAGGACCAAATGAGATAATGTATTGAAAGTCCTCTATAATTGTAAAGCACAATATAAATGTCAGTTATTTAGTCTCAGAATGTATCCATATCACACACTTTATTTCTATTTTAAAAATAGATTTTTTATTATAAACTTAGTCATCAAGAAACATGAACATTTTTATATGCAAAGAACATAAAGAGGATTGCACATAAAACCATAAATCTACTATATTCAGGAAATTAAATTGTTTTATATTATTTAATAATTGATTCTATTCTGTAACTGACCCTATTCTATATTACTGTCTCATTTTGTATAATTGCTCAGTCCACATTTTTCTACCTCTGAATCAGTTTTTCCTCTGAGCTAGTTACAAGTTAACTTGTTATCATCCCCAGAGGGTATATTGTCCATCTTTGCAACATTCTTATCTCCCCCACAAATTCTTCCAGGTGCCAGGGAGTCTGCTACCTCAGGTCAGTTAACAGTGTCCTACAAGATGCTCCCTGGTCCCATAAAACAATTAACATTCCTTAATTGTCTGAGAGGGGTGGTTGCTAGCACCTCATGTGTTAGCCACTTTCCTTGAAATAACCAATCACGTTGTTCTCACCTCCATGATGCTATTTACCTTGTAACTAACCATATCCTTTTCCACCTACCCAACTCTGTACTTCCCAAAATTATATTAATGCTGGTGAGTCTTACCTTGCAGTGTTTGGTCATTGAGAGAGTCCATTGACCCAATTTATTGGTTACTGATAGCCTAACAAATTAGGTGTTCATGATCACATCATTGTCTCTCATTTTATCTTAATTTTCAAATGTAAAAATGTAAAACTTACTTTTTTTAAAGTATACATTCTATTTATCATAACAACTCGCCCTTTTCGATTATATCCCTTTCTGAATTTCCTCCTGCCCTCTTTGGCATATTTTAAAAAAGTATTTGATTGATTTTCTTTTCTTTCTTTTTTTTGTGTCATTATCATTGCCCTCTTACAGCTTTTACTATTTCCACAACACTTCAGTCAGTCCATAAACATATATTGATCATCTATTATGTGCCAAGCACTGTGGAAACAAAGAATGGAAAAAGATAGTTTCTGTCCTTGAGGAGATCCAATAAAAACCTTACCTTGGTAACAAATAGGTACAGTAAAAAAACACATTTGTGTTGTATTGCATATGAAGTATGTGTGCATACCATACACTTTGAAATATTGTGCCATATAGTACCACACAACTCAGGATAGTGGGTAGAGTGGGAGTCAGGAAGACCTAAATTCAAGAACAGTCTAAGACACATACTAGCTCTATGATCAAGGACAAAGTCATTGAGCCTCTCAGCGCTCCCAAGTAATTCTCTGAGGCTGCAAATTAGACTTAGGCTGCTGATCTGCACTGGTGGGAGGAGTTTTCTTACTGGGAGCATCTCACACTTATGAAATGAGGGACATGTATCAAATAGAACTATGTAAGAGAATATTATTCACAGCTGCCTTGCATTTGCTATAGGATAACTTAAGGTTCATAAATTCCAAACTTAAAAAATTTCATAAAATTTGCGTTTTATTATTTATGTTGTTTTTATTTTAGGCAGAGAAAACAATTTCAATACTTACGATGATAAGGAATCAGACTCTCTGAATGTTCCGTATGACTACACATCTGTGATGCACTACAGCAAAAATGCCTTCCAAAATGGAACAGAACCAACAATTGTGACTAGGATCCCTGAGTTTTTGGATGTGATTGGACAACGAATGGATTTCAGCGATTATGACCTTGAAAAATTGAGAAAACTGTACAACTGCTGTAAGTATCCTGGCCTCTGGGGAACCAGGGCTGTTTCTCCCAGCTGAGTTTGGAAAAGTTTCAGCCTGCTTGGTTCTTGCAATTAGAAAAAGCTTAGTCATAATGAAAAGTGGGGAAAGAATAATTAGAATTAAATCTATGCTATAGCTACATAGTGTTTTAGGTAGGCAGTTTGGGGCAGTGGGCTTGAAGTCAGGAAGCCAAGAACCAAGTTGTGGCTCTGCCACTTCTTAAATATGTCATTTTAGGAAGTCACTTACCTCAGTTTTTGCCCCTACAAAATAGAAATAATATTTGTACCAGAACCTCACAGGTTTGTTGTGAGAAAGGCTGTATAAATCATAAGTCACCACATAACTGTGAGCCATTATTGGACCATTTTATGGGAATGAGATTTCATTGGCAGAGGGAACTTCCTCCTAATGAGAAAACTCTACCAGTATAGTTTGATGTCTATTCTATTATTTTAGAGTGCTACCTTGGGGTACTGAGAGGCTAAATGATTTGCCCAGTAACTCCCATTAGCCTTGAGATCAGAGAATGTTTGGGGTTTTTTGCTTTTCATTATGTTCAGGTGCTTAGAACAGTGCCTGGCACATAGAAGGTGCTTAATAGCAAGCGATGCTAATTGATGACTGACTAACACAAGTCTTATATGTCAAAAGCAGGACTTGACTATAGATACTCCTGATTTCAAAACTGGCCCTCTAGCCACTACTTCAGTGACTCCCTTAAATACAATGTAGTTACAAAGAAGACTCAAAGATTTTCTTCTCAATAGATCTTTCTGATCTGAAAACACATCTTGTGCTTTGTGGAATGTATGAATTTATATTTTTTAAATGTAAATTTGGCATCAGGATCTATCAGACAGGTTTCTGAAGGATTGCTCCTGGACCAGAAATAGGTATATTTGACATATTGAAAGCTGTTTTCCAACAGTACCTGGATGACAACGAAATGTATAAATTCCTGAGGAGGAGTAATGAAAGAAGCTGGATTATGGCTCAGCCAGCTCAGCAATTTGAGAAGGACTGAAGGAAGTATGCCTTGATTCAACACATCCCTTAATGAACAGCTCCGAGTTAGGGCAGCTCTACCTAGCTATGGGATGCCTCCCTATTTTGACTATGTGGGCTGGAATTCATCAAGCTCCTCAGGGAACTACTCACGACTGCCTTCCTTCCTCAATTCAGTTATGCAATGAACTAAAAATAGTTTTAGTTATTCTAAAAACAGAATAAAAATTCTCTCTGACTAGAGAGTCATTCAATGATTTTTGTCTTCTCTAGCTTCTTCCTTAACCTTTCTGGACTCATGTGATTTTGAACTGGAAAATATCTGTGGCATGATTCAAAATTCAGAAGATAACGGTGACTGGCAGAGGGTTTCTCAGGTGACTGGTGGCCCAGACACAGATCAATCAAACCTGGGCAAGTGCAAAGGTAACTACCATGGGTGGGACCCAATGGCTCTTGCCTTGCTTTCTTTGGTAGCCCTCTCAGCCTGTGCTTTTATCAGCATAGTCATGACATCATATCTGTGATATGATCATAAAGTTAGAGCTGCAAGTGACCTCAGGGGACATCTCCTTCAACCTCCTCATTTTACAGATGAGAGAACGGGTCAGGTCACATAAATACCAAGTGCCTGAAGCATGATGGGAACTTGGGTCTTCCTGATTCCCAGTCCAGGAAGTTTATCTCTTAAAGGAAGAGGCTGAATATTGCCTAAAGGAAGAATGGGGTCTTATTCCAAAGTTCTGTAAGTGTTATTAGACTTATTGTCTATTTTAAAATTCACACTAAGAGCAGTTTGGGAATGTGACTTGTTACTTTAGTAAATTAAGATGATTAAGGTCTTCTTCCTTAACCTCCTGTATATGTAACATCTCATTGAGTTTGGACTATGGTTAGGTCAAAAGAACAGTGGCTCTAGCTTTAGAAGGTCCTAGGTTCCAATCCTCCAGTGATTTCACTATCTATAAGTCACTTAAACCCCTTGCCTCTCAGTTTCTTTATTGGTAAAATTAGGGAGTTGGACTTGATGCCCTCAGAGGTCTAGATTTTTGATCTGTAGATCTCAGGCTTCCAGCCTGAGGAGAGATGGCTTCAGCAGTGTGTGTGTGTGTGTGTGTGTGTGTGTGTGTGTGTGTGTGTGTGTGTGTGAGAGAGAGAGAGAAGAGAGAGAGAGAGAGAGAGAGAGAGAGAGAGAGAGAGATTAAAATGTATATTTTTTTGTCCTTGAAAAATCTGACCTCAGATGATCAAAGCAAGTGAAAAACCTTGGTAGAAGACACCTCATTTATTTATTTCATGTTTCCCTTTGCATTTTTGTTGGGCTAAAGTGGTCTTTAAATAGTTGCTAGTCCCAAACTTGATGTCTCTGTTATTGGTAACAAACATGTAATATCAGGTGCTAAAACTTAAGGCTGTTATACTAGTTCAAATGATTAGGTCAGGACACTAAGAGAGACAGAATCCTAGACCTAGAGGTTCAGAACTAGGAGGGGTCTCAGAGGCCATCTTGTTTACCCACTTCAATTTATAGTTGAGTAAACTTTTGTCCAGGAGAGGTAACTGATTTGCTCAAGGTCATAGAGACAGTGTCTTACGTGGGATTTGAATCGGTTGTACTTTGGCTCTTGACACAGTGTTCTTTCCACTGTGAAGTCATAAGTACTTATTACTTTATAAACTGTAAGCTAACCAAGGAGAGTGACTTGGGAACTCCTATTCTTAACCTTCTCAGGGAATGATCTTGGATAATTAGGGGAGAATATGACAAGTGAAAAGGCAAATTGCTCTTGTGTGGAGGGAGTGGAGAAACAGGAAGTTTACAGAAGGGGGAGCAAGCTGAAGCAAACATCTGAACTCAGGTTTTTTTTTCTTTTGCTTGAGAATTGTTATCTCTTGCGATCAGAAATACTTTGATAACACATTTTTTTTTTACCTTCTACAGCTATATTGTCCCCTTCATAAGATGTGAACTTATAAAGGGCAAGAACCATATTTTTATAGGTCTCAGTCTTCACTTTGAACATAGCAGGTGCTGAACAAAAACTAACAAAGAAACCTATATTTAGCTAGTTAAGAAGCAAATAATCCACTCTGACTTAGCCCCACGATCTCCCTGAGGTAACTTTTACTCAGAAGGTTGAGTAATTAGAATTACCGTGATAGAACATGAGAGGAGAAAGGAACTTGGAGAACATCTAGTAGTTTTATAAACCTCAAAATTTTTACAAATGAGAAAACTGAGGCTCAGAAAATGAAACAATTCATGCAGTTTGGACCCCTCTGGAGCCCCTTTCCTGATCTGATCTCTCTTCTTCCTTTCTCATATTCATGATGTGTACCCTGAGGCACACATTCACAGAGCACTTCTTTTCCTCCTGTGGAGGGAGTAAGGCTTGTGTTTGTGTGCAGATTTGGCAGGAGCTCCAACCTGTAGCCTAATTTTCAATGTGAACACTTATTCTTCAGAAATCAAGAAACACTACCAATCGGGACTTTATTTTTTGTTTTTGTTGATTGTCTAGTCTCAAGAAAGTAATGAGGAAAAATGTTAATGAAGATTAAACTTAAAAATGTGTCACGTATATGGGATATTGCCCCAAACATTTACCAGCACACACCTGAACAAGCAGGATGTAAAATGACGCACCAGATTTTTAATGTCTTAGTACTTGTGATTGTCTTTTGTCTCAGTTTCCCCTCTTGCCAAATGTGGTTAGGCATGAAGCCATGTAAAAGCAGAATGTTTTACTATTGTAAATGTCTTTCCCTCCATCACATGTGTGACTGACTAATATTTTATTTAGCATTGACTCAATGAGCTAATGTTCCAAGTCCTGATTGTAGCTTAGGTTGTACAATATGAAAAAAATATATAAGCTTTTGGTGATTTCATGTATTAATATTAACTATACCCGCCTATGAAATTTTTTCTTCTGAAGCCAGGGTCTTCAAGTGTCTAATCTCTTCTTTGTCCTCTTCCAGACTCTGGTTTCTTTATGCATTTCAACACCAGCTCTGTGAACGAGGGAGAAAAGGCAATCTTGGAAAGCCGCATATTTTACCCCAAGAGAGAATTTCAGTGCTTGCAGTTTTATTACTACAACGGCGGTAACGAAGATGACCAGCTCAAGATCTACGTCAGGGAGTATACCTCAGAAAATGGTAATGGCTTTCTCACTCTGGTGGATGAAGTGAAAGGTATGAGATTTTATCTTCAGATAATTAAGCTTGACTTTGATCTGAGACCTTCTGTAACTCTTTGTTTCCCTTCCTCCAACACATTGGAGCTTTTCCTCCTTTATAACACTGTGTTTTGGTCTTCTGATGGTTTGAGATTCATGTGGGATTCTCAGCTAGAAGCAACCCTAGTGATTACCTGGTTCAGGACTTTCTTTTTTTTTTTTTTTATTCTGCCTTCTCTTTTCCTTGCTCAGTTTTGTGAAACCAAACATCTGTTTCTTTGCCTGACAGCCATTTTTTTTTTTTTTTACAAATCAGAGAACAAGCAATTGACCTAAAGATCTTGCGATTAGATTAACTAGAGGCTAAAGGAGCCTTTCTAGAACTTTTACTTGGAGGGCTTGAGTTAAATCTCTGACTGCTGCCTCTTGAATAATTCAGGGTTCAGGATCACTGAAACCTGATGGACTCTGGAAACCCCTTTAGTATTGTATAGAATATAGCTAGGCAGTAATTTTCTCTAGCTGAGGGGAATCTGTCTTGCTAGTCAAGCATCTTACCAAGTGCCAATTATGCCCCCTTTATTTTATTTTATTTTGGTCTGCACCTGTGGTTTTGCTGTTTGTAAGGGGCTTCTGGTAAGGAAACCCTCTCCTTCCTCACCAATCCAAATCAGTCACAGCACTGAATTCTTATCTTGAGAGTTGCCTGAGCACATTTCAAAGACTTGCCCAAGGCCGAATAACAAGTATGCATTAGAGGCAGGGCTTCAAACCAAGTCTTCCTGACTCTAAGGCTGGCTCTGTAGCTAAAAGGCCATGTGGTCTCTCCCTCCCACTCATTTTACAGTGGTCATTTCTGTTTACTGCTTCACTGACATGAGTTCCTTACCTCAGTTTTTGACTGGCTAGGGATTTCTGGGACAGCTTTTTACATATCCTTCCCTTCCTCCTCTTGGGGATGTGGTGAGAGGGAATGAGGTGGTGGTATGCAAGAGAGATGGGCATCGTACACTAACAAAGATGGTACAAACAGTAAATGTTCTATCACTGAAGATCTTGAGGTAGATGTTGAAGGCTCACTTTGGGGGATGTTGCAGCTAGAATTAATGATTTGGACAGGGGTTGTTCTAGAAGATTCCTTATCTCCTTCCTCACTCTGTTTATAATTCTGTATCAAGGTTTTTGTTATTGTTCAGTCGTTTCAGTTGTATCTGACTCTTCATGACCCCATTTGGCGTTTTCTTGGCAAAGATACTGGAGTGGTTTGCCATTTCCTTCTCTAGACCATTTTACAGATGAGGAAACTGAGGCAAACAGGGTTCAGTGACTTACTCAGAGTCACATAGTTAGATGAGTGCCTAAGGCCAGATTTGAACTCAGAAAGATGAGTCTTCCTGACATCAGGTCCTGAATTGCACCACCTCACTGCGCCCTATATCAAGATATCCACTTCTATATGGATAAACTTAAAGTGAGTGGTGGAACAGTGGATAGAGCACTGAGGCCGGAGTTAGGAAGATTTGAGTTCAAATCTAACTTCAGATATTTACTAAGTGGGCCAGTATTTGGGCCCACTGGCGTTAGGCCCGTATTTTAACCTCCATCTGCCTCAATTTTCTCACCTATAAAATGGGGACAAGAGTAGCTGCCTCCCAGGGCACATAGTAGATGCTTAATAAATGCTTGTTCCCCTCTTCCTTGTGGCAATAGGCCAGGTAAATTGCCCAAATACCATGACATTGAGGTGACTTTCCGGGGAGCAAGATTTCCGAAAATAATCTTTCTGGGATTGGTATTAATCTGTGTATTATCACTGGGTAGCTGGTAGTAAATCTGCCAAAATTTTTCCCTAGGAATTCATACATTTCTAGGACTTTCAAGTTAGTAGGATCTTAGAGTCCTATATAGGCCCAAAATATTAAACAGTTTCATGGAATATTTAGCTAACTTTGGATATGATGGAACTACAAAAAGACAGCCAGGAATATTCTGGTTCAATCACTAGACTTTGAAGATAAAGCTGCAAGAGATAAATATCATGGTATAGAGGAAAGGGTGATGGGTTAGTGATCAGAGGACCTGGGTTCAAATTATGGCACTACCGCTTACCAGCTGATAGCAAGGGAAAGCCACGTAACCCTTGGAAGCCTTAACTTTCTGATCTATAGAATGAATGAGCTGTCCCTAAGGTCACTTCTAGCTCTAAACCTATGACCCTCTTGGGACACTTCTCCAAAAGAATGCGACTTTCAAACAGAGGTAAGTACAAGGATAGAAAGGCCATTCATCTGACTCAGTGTGGTAGTTCAAAGACCTGAGTTCAAATCTAGTCTCAGGCATGTGATAGCTGTGTAACCCTGGGTAAGACATTTAACTTCTGTCTGCTTTAGTTTTCTTATCTGTAAAATGCGAATAATAATAACACTTACCTTTCAGTGTTGTGGTGAGGATCAAATGAGCTGTTTGTAAAGTGTTTTGCAAACCTTAAAGTGCTATTTAAATTTTAGCTATTATTAGTATTAGTTCTTACATTCTTGTAAGCAGCACAGAAGTAAAGCTTAATTGCTAAGTATGGCTTCATATTTAGCCTTATAACCCTGGAAAGTATAGGCAACTTCATAGATTACTAGATATGTGCTCAAGCATTCTCTCAGGTCATGTGAGCTGGCATGAATATTGGGAAGTAAAATGTTCAGACGTGAGAGTGGATAGAACCATGACATAGCACATTATTGACTTTTGAACTACTGTTTAGTCTTGGAGGCTATGGACTATTCTTATTTATTAATATATGACTTGGTAATTGTCTAACTTTTTAAAGCCAACAGTTCTCTTCTATTACAGATGCATCCATTGGGAGCTGGCAACTCTATCATGTACCATTGGCAGTTACCACCAAATTCAGGGTGGTATTTGAAGGAACTCGAGGTATTGGCACGTCAGCTGGTAGTCTCTCCATTGATGACATCAACCTTTCAGAAACACGCTGTCCTCATCATGTGTGGAAGATAAGCAATTTTGCACAACTCAGTAACTCAGATGGAGTCATCGTTAGCCCTCCATTTTACTCTCCTCTAGGCTATGCCTATGAGGTTGAGTTAGATGTAAGTAATCAGACTAATGTAGGGATATATTTCTCCCTGATCTCTGGAGCCAATGATGAACAATTACAGTGGCCATGTCCGTGGCAACAAATCACAATGACACTATTGGATCAAGATCCTGATATTCGTCGGCGCATGTCCAACCAGAGGAGTGTGACCACAGATCCATTCCAGACACTTGGTTTGTAATTTTTTCCCTTTATTCCTGACACATTTCATTTACAGTGGGAAACTAAGGAGGGAGGAAGGGTTGAAAATGGCACTAATTGCTGATCAGTTAATAGGGATCACCAGTTAGTTTGGTATAAGATTCTAGAGTCTTTGGAGTAATGGATCTTGGAGGAAGTATTGCAGTGATTGCAACAAGGTGAGTGTCAAGAATGATGGGCAGCAAAAGCTCTAACAGAAAAACTTGGAATGATAAGGATGGCCACATGAGAAGTCTGGGTCAGGACAGATTGGATGCAAAGGGTAACTACCCTACCCAATTAATTCTCAACCTCTGCTTTAGGTCCCACTCCTGTTTCCTGATTACTTCACTTTCCTGGCTTCCCTAGGTGTCCCTCAACTACCCTGGTTACACCAGGGTTAGACATGATAGTAATATAATTCAATTCTTGAGTAGAAGAGACGTGATTAATAAATGGTTGTTGAATAAATGAATGAATTGGGTTAAGCAGAGACAACAGGGGAAAGGATGGCATTGGGGGAGAGGAATATAATTTAGTCATTGAAAAGTTCTTAAGGATTGGTCCGTGCTGTGATCATCATTCCTCTTTTTCTAGTTCTTAAAAAGAATGGTATTTTGAGGATGGTCTTCTGACTATTATTTTAAAATTATCTTTTTATTTTTTACCTGTTTATTTTCAACATTCACTTAAAAATTTTGGGTGTCAAATTCTCTCCCTCCATCCCACCTGTCCTCCATCCATTGAGAAAGCAGGTGATATAATATCAGTTATACATGTGAAGTTATGAAAAACATGTTTTTGTATTAGCTATGTTGGCAAAAATCATGAAAAGCAAATAAAGTGGAAAGAAGAATGCTTCAGTCTGTACTCATACCTCATCAGGAAGTAGATAGCATTTTTCATCATGAGTCCTTTGGAATTTTCTTGGATCCTTGTCTTGAACAGAGTAGCTAAGTTCATTACAGTTGGTTATTCTTACAATATTGTTGTTACTGTGTACAATATTCTCCTGGTATAGCTCACTTCACTGCATTAGTTCATAAGGTATTCCCAGGTTTTTCTGAAACTGCATCCTTAATATTTCTCCTAGCACAATGTATTCCATCACAATCATATACCACAATTTGTTTAGCCAGTCTCCAGTTGTTGGATTTCCTCTTAGTTTCCAATTCTTTACTACCTCAAAAATAACTGTTATAAATATTTTTATACAAATAGGTCCTTTTCCCTCTTTAAAAAAAATATCTTTGGGATACACACCTATTAGAGGTATTGCTGGGTCAAAGGGTGTGTACAGTTTTATAGCCTTTGGGCATAGTAGTTCTCAAGAGTGGTTGGACCAGGTCACAACTCTATCAACAATGCATTAGTGTGCCTATTTTTCCACATTCCCTCCAGCATTTATTATTTTCAATTTTTTGTCATTTTAGCCAATCTGATAGGGGTGAGGTGGTACCTCAGAGTTATTTTAATTTTCATTTCTCTAATCAATAGTGATTTAAAACTTTTTTTCATATGACCCTTAAAAGCTTTACATTATTCTTATGAAAATGGCCTGTTTTAATCCTTTGACAATTTGTCGACCGGGGAATGGCTCTGATTTTTTTATAATTTTGGATCAGTTCCTTAAATATTTGAGAAATGAGGGCTTTATAGGAGAAACTCGCTGTAAAATTTTTTCTCTCCATTTCTTGCTTTCCTTCTAATTTTGGTTGCATTGATTTGCTTTGCACAAACCCTTTTTAAATTTCATGTAATCAACATTATCCATTTTACTTACAGTTATCCTCTCTATTTCCTGCTTAGTTATAAACTCTTCCCTTATCTATAGATCTCAAAGGTAATTTTTTCCATGCTCCCCTAATTTACTTATATTATCCTTTATGTCATATACCTATTTTGACTTTATTTTGGCATAGTTAAGATGCTGGTCTATGCCTAGTTTCTTCCAAACTGCTTTTGAATTTTCCCAGCAATTTTTGTAAAGTGGTGAGTTTTTGCTCCCAAAGCTTGAATTTTTGGGTTCATCAAACACTGGATTTACTACTGTATTTTGTATAGCTAATCTATTCCACTGATTCACCACTCTATTTCCTAGCCAAATCCAGATTGTTTTGATGATCATTACTTTGTTATATACTTTGAAATCTGCTAGGCTGCCTTCTCTCACATTTTTTGCATTGATTCCCTTGCTATTCTTGATCTGTTGTTCTTACAGATAAATTTTGTTATTATTTTTTTCTGGCTCTTAAAAATAATTCCTCGGTAGTTTGATTGGTATGGAACTGAATAAGTAAATTAGTTTAGGCAGAATTGTGATTTTTTTATTATATTGTCTCGACCTTCCCATGAGCAATTAATATTTCTCCAATTGTTTAGATCTGACTCCTTGTAATAACTTATAATTATGTTAATATATTTCCTGGGTTTGTCTTAGCAGGCAGACTCCCAGGTATTTTATATTATTTGCAGTTATTTTAAATGGACTTTCTCTATTACTTCCTGTTAGACTTCATTGGTAATATATAGAAATGCTGATGATTCATATGGGTTTATTTTATATTTTACAACTTTGCTAAAGTTGTTGTTTCAACTAGTTTTTCTGTAGCGTCTCTATGATTCTCTAAGTATTACCATTATTTCATCTGCAGTGATAGTTTTTTCATTTCCTATTTTTAGTAATTTTTCTTGCCTTATTGCTATAACTAGCTTTTCTAATACATTATTGAATAACAGTAGTGATAATGGACATCCTTGTTCTCCCCCACCCCCGATATTACTGGGAAGGCTTCAACTTTATTACCATTACAGATAATAGTTGCTCTTGGTTTTAGGATAGATATTCCTTATTATTTTAGGAAAAGCTATTTACTGTTATGTTACCTTGTGTTTTCAACAGGAATAAGTGTTGCATTTTGTCAAAAACTTTTCATGCATCTATTGAGATATCATTTTTGTTGTTTTTGTTATTGATATGGTCAATTATACTTATAGTTTTCCTAATATTGAACCGGTCCTGCATTGGTGGTATAAATCCTACCTGATCATAGTGTATGATCTTTATGACATATTGCTGTAACTCTCCTTGCTAGTTTTTTATTTAAAATATTTGCATTGATGTTTTGTAGGGAATCTGGTCTACAGTTTTCTTTTTCTCTTTTTTAAAAAAATTCCTGGTTTAGGTAGCAAAATCATATTTGTGTCATGAAAGGGATTTGGTAGGACTTCTTTATCTTTTTAAAAAATAGTTTATATTGCATTGGGATTAATTGTTTCTTAAATGTTTGGTAGAATTCACTTGTAAATCCACCTGGTCCTGGGAAGTATTTTTTTTAGTGAAGTCATTTATAGCTTGTTCAATTTCTTTTTCTAAAAGAAGTATTCAATTATCTCCTCTTTCAATCTTGACAATTTATCCATTTCACTTAGAGTGCCATATTTACTTGTATGTAATTAGACAAAATTACTCCTAATAATTTCTTTAATTTTATCTTCATTGGTGTCGAATCTATCCTTTTTATTTTTGATAGTGGTTATTTGGCTTTCTTCTTTTTTTAAAAAATCAAGTTAACAAATGATTTATCTATTTTATTGTTTTTCCCCACAAACCATCTAGTAGTTTTATCAGTTCAGTGGTTTTTCATTTTCAATTTTATTAATTTCTTTTTTTATTTTTAGGATGTATATTTCAATGTTTAATTGGGGATTTTTAATTCATTCTTTTTCTAAATGTTTAGTTGCATGCTCAATCTCTTTTTTTCTCTTGTTGTACACACTTAGAGATATATAAATTTTGTCATGTCTCATTGGTTGTCATTCTCTTCAGTGAAATTATTGTTTCTATGATTTTTTCTTTGATCCACTGATTCTTCCGGATTAGTTTATTTTCCAATTAATGTTTAATCTTTGCTTCCAAAGGCTCTTTTTTGAATACAATCTTTATTGCCTTGTGTTCTAAGAAGGGTGCATTTAATATACCTGTTTTTATGCATTTGGTTATGAATTTTTAATGCTCTAATATATAGTTTTTGTGAAGGTTTCATCACAACTGAGAAAAAGGTATACTGCTTTCTATTCTTGTTTAATTTTTCCCAGAGGTCTATAATTAACTTTTAAAAAATTCCATGTATCTTCTTAACTTCTTTCTTATTTATTTTATGTTTATATTTATTTAGCTCTCAGACATGAAAGCTGAGGTCCCCATCAGTAAAGTTTTACTGTCTATTCCTGTAACTCATTTAACTTTTCCTTTAGGAATCTGGATGCTATACCATTTGGTGCACATGTGTTTAATGTTGATATTTATTTGTTGTCTACGGCACCTTTTAACAAGATGCAGTTTCCCTGCTTATTCCTTTTAATTAGGTCTATTTTTGCTTTTGTTTTGTCTGAGATAATGATCGATACTCCCACCTTTTTTTCTTCAGCTATATAATAAATTCTGCTCTAGCCCCTTATTTTAGCTAGCTGTGTATTTTAACTGTTTCAAGTATTTCCTGTAAACAACATACTGTTTAATTTTGGTTTCTAGTCCATTCTGCTATCTGCTGCCATTTCATGGATGAATTCATCACATTCACAGTCATGCTAATAACTATGAATTTTTCTCCATCCTGTTTTCTTGTTTATCCTTCTCTCTCTCTTTACCATGTCTCCTCCTCAAAAGTCTGTTTTGCTTCTGACTACTGCCTTTCTTAATCTGCTCTCCTTTTTAACCCCACCTTTCTCTTATTCTCCTTTCCTCTTCCTTTCCTATTGGGTAAGATGGATTTCTGTACCCAACTGAGCATGTGTGTATGCATATGTGTGTGTGTGTGTGTGTGCATGTGTATACAAACACACACATATATATTTGTATGGATATATATGTTTATATATGCACATATATTTTCCCCTTCTTTGAACAAATTCAGATGAGAGTGAGGTTTAAGCATTGCCCACTCCCTTTCCATTATTTTCCCCTCCACTATGAAAGATTTTCCTTGTGTACCTCTTTTATGCGAGATAATTTCCCCCATTCTTTCTCTCCCTTCCCAATTCTCTCAGTACATTCCTTTTTCTCACACATCCATTTTTTGGAGACCATTTCAACATAATCAACTCATACTCATGCCTTCTGTCTATGTAGAGTCCTTCTAATTGTACTAATAATGGTAAAGTTCTTAGCAGTTACATGTATCATCTTCCCAAATAGGAATGCAAATGGTTTTACTTTACTGAATCCTTTATGAGTTCTCTTTTATGTTTACCTTTTTATGCTTCTCTTGAGTCTTGTACTTGAAAGTCATTTTCTACTTTTCTTTGTTCTATTCATTAGGAATGCTTGAAAGTCCTCTATTTCGTTAGATATCCTCCCCCCCAAAAGGCAAAGAAGTTAGGATTACAAAGAAAACTTAGTATAATTACAAGGAAAACTGAATATACATAATAATAATAATACTAGATTACACTAAGTTTTCATTGTAATCCTAACTTCTTTGCCTTTTAGGATATCACATTCCAAGCCCTCTGATCCTTTAATGTGGGAGCTGCTAAATCTTATGTGAGCCTGACTATGGTTCCATGGTATTTTAATGATTTCTTTCTTGCTGCTTAAAGTATTTTCTTTTTGACCTGGGAGCTCTGGAATTTGACTATAGTATTGCTGGGAATTTTTGTTTTGGCATCTCTTGCAAGAGGTGATCAATGAATTCTTTCAATTTCTATGTTACCTTCTAGAATATCAGGGCAGAGTTTTTCTTGATAATATCTTAAAATATGATATCTAGGCTCTTTCTTTGATTGTTGCTTTTAGATAATCCAACAAATCTTGAATTATTTTTCCTCAATCTATTTTCAGGTCAACTGTTTTTCTAATGAGATATTTCATACTTTTTTCCATTTTTTATTCTTTTGACTTTGCTTTATTGTTTCCTGACATCTCATAGAGTTATTAGCTTTCACTTGCCCAATTCTAATTTTAAAGGATTATTTTTTCTTTTTCTCTTTTGTGCTAGGCAATGGGGTTAAGTGACTTGTCCAGGGTCACACAGCTAGTAAATGTTATGTGTCTGAAGCTAGATTTGAACTCAGGTCCTCCTGAATCCAGGGCCGGTTCTCTATGCACTGCACCACATAGCTGCCCCTAAAGAATTATTTTTTCAAGTGGGCTTTTGTACTTCTTTTTCCTTTGGCCCAGACTGCTTTTTAAGGAGATATTTTCATCATTGAAGTTTTCTACGTCTTTTACCATTTGGCTAGTTTCTGATTTTTTTTTAAAGGTTCTATTTTCTTCAGCATTTTTTTGTGCTTCTTTCACCATGCTGTTAATTGTTTCTTCATATTTTTTTTTTGCATTTATCATTTCTTTTCTCAATTTTTCTCTATCAATCTTAATTCTGAAAATTATTTTTTTAGTTCTTCTAGGAATTCTTGTTGGACTTGCTGTCCAATTCACCCCTCACCCCCTTTGAGGCTTTGCTTATAGCTATTTTGACCTTATTGTCTTCTTCTGAATTTGTATCTTGATCTTCCCTGTCACCATTTAGTTGCCTAATCTCCACCTAATTTTATTTCATACCTTTCATACCTTTGCTTGTTTTCACAACTTCACAAAAACCTGACCTTACTGGATGTGACCTATGAATTGCTTTTTCAGATAATAATGAAACCTTTGTTTGGGACAAGCCCTCCAAAATAGGAGAGACAGCAACTTTCCCTAATGGAACATTATATAGCAGAGGTCCAAGGTATGGAACCAGTGTCTACATAACCCACCAAAGGATGCAGGGCAGAGATTTTGTCAAAGGAGATAATGTTTACATGCTTCTGACTATGGAAGGTATGTCAATACGAGGTGACTCTTTTGTAGAGAATGATTTTATGTGTAATAGGTGACTTACTATGTAGTTTCTATGTTCTATTTTCAGGTGTACGCAATGTGTTCTAAGGAGAAGAGGGCAGGGTAGGGAAGGGGAGGGCAAGAGACATTTCCAGACCCTCTTGAGATATTTACAACATGAATAAAATAATTTAGCTGTGGCACGATGAAGGTTTCTAGAATAAGGAAGAATATGTCCAACTTAGATCTTGCAACTAGTCAACTGGGAGACAGGGCTGTATATAAGAAAGATCCATGGCCTGAGAGTAAGTCCTCCTGCGTTTTAGTCTCAGCTCTGCTGTAAATTCTCCATGTGACTTAGTAGTATACTTCTCTAGGACTCAGCCTTAATTTCCCCAACTATAATATGAGAAAATTGGACCAGATTAGGGGTGGGGAACAGTGGCCTCAAAGCCACATGTGGTCCTCAAGTGTGGCCCTTTGACTGAATCCAAACTTCAAGAACAAAAATATCTTCATATACATGTCTATGTGTTTTTCTCTGCCTATCTTTCTAGAAGTTAAAAAAAAATCCATTTACCTCTTAAAACAGCTGAGCTCCGACAGTTGATAAATGTAGATCGATGATCTCAGCCTAATGGGTACACTCTCTACATTGATACAAGTTGTAACCCTTACTTATCTTATTAGTAATTTCATGAGCTTCTGTACCCAATAAAATCATCACTTGATACTTGGTCTTCTGGTGTTGAGCTTCTCCAAATTGAGATAGGCTGGGCTTTGGGCAATGGGCCCACTAGCAACCTTTTTAGCTAGGTAAGACCAGTGGTATGCTGGGTAAATGTTTAACAACTGGCTCATCAGAAAATAAATGTATGTAAAATATGTTTTTAAGTTTAATTTGAATTATTAACATTTCTCTATTACTTTTTTCAGCCTGTACAATCAACAAATCGATAAATCAAGTCCTGATTCATAGCATTTGCTGGTTTCTGAAATGTAAATGCTCATAATGAAAATTTAACAATCACCTCTTATGAGCTGGTTTGAGCTGTATCCAGCACATCCCTGGGCCTGCCAGAGCTTGTACTGTATCGATGTTGCCTTTTACTACCCTGGATCACCTCTGCACTGTGAAAAGGCATCAGAGTATATTTCCTATTTCAATAGTTCTCATGTTTCCTTAATTAGAGCCATAATTTATTTTATGTTATGCATAACTTATGAGAAGCAGTGTGACATACAGGATAGAGAACTGTCATGGGAGTCAGGATGACCCGGATTTAAGTCCTGCATCCTACACATACTGGCCATGTGACCTTGGGTAAGGTCCTTAACCTCTCAGTGCTCCAGGGATCTTTCCAAGATAAAAATTAGAAAGTAGTTGTAGATCTGTATTTGTTGAGGAAGTTGGCTCACTGTGAGCTCTGCACACTAATGAAGTTTTAGGTCTATACCAAACCACCCACCTTGGGTTCTCTCTGGGTCTCAGTTTCCTCATCTATAAAATGAGGGGGATGGGACTATCTGTTATTTAAGGTCCTTGGCTCTAACATATTCTAATCTTTGATCTTCCTGCCTTAAGAGGTGATGAGAAGAGGTCTTGTGATAGCAAGTGGCCCAGTTCCAACTACTGGGGTATTTTGACTTTCATATGTTTGATAGAAACAAAACTAGATCATATCTCTTGGCATGCATCACTTAGCATTGTCCTATTCTTTTGGAGGGAGATAAATATTGCTATAAGCAATAAAAATGACAGTTTCATCAATTCTGCCAGATCCTATATTAATTTCACCTTTATAACTTTATCTTTGCATCCCCAGCGTGCTTAAGAAACAAGTGCTTTCTGATTAATAAAAGCAGGCAAAATGTGTTAACTCTGAGCACATGCAGATTTATCTCTGCCAATTTCCCCATTTTGAAACCTCCTGAAACACTCAGCATAGCATGACTTTCTGCATTGGAATGTCCATCTTTTCTGTATTATCCTCATCAAGTGGTCATCTAGCCTCCTCTTGAAAACCTCCAGTGCTGGAGAACTCTGCTGCTAGTGCCTCATCTTTCAGATGACCTCCTATCGATCCTGTTTCTATATTCTATGTGTCTAGTTATTTACATGTTATTCTTTCCACCAGAATGTATACTCCTTGATGGTAAGGACATTTTTAATTTCCCTTTATTTATTTCCCTAGCGCTTAGCACCATGGTTGGTAAATATTAAACACTTAATAAATGCATATTGAGTAATTAACTAGGTCTCAATTCCTCAATGGCTCTAAGTGTTCTGCAATACCCATAATTCAAAAACTTAAGACTTCATGGTTCAAAAACCAACCTCTATTCATGAACCCTTTTCTCCCTTAGATATATCAAATCTCATTTCTACTGAGCCATCACCTATCCCTCCAACGGAACCTCAAGCAGATCTCTGTGCAAACTTCACCTGTCAGAATGATGGCGTCTGTATTATCTTCAATAACAAAGCAGAATGCAGGTAAAAAGACAGCTTGTATCTCTAGGCATACTTTGATTTATATGACTTCTTTGTGAAGTGTCTCCAGTTGTAAAAAAGAGGTTTGGAAGTTAATGAAAGGTATGTTCCCATGCCTATATCCCTCGCAATGCTGCCCACATAATATTCGTAGGATCTCAATATCATGGACTTATAGCTGGAAAGCACTTGAGATGCCATTGAATCCAACCCCCTGATTTTACATATGAGGAAACTAAGGTCCACAGAGGTCACACAGGTAAAAGAGGCAGAGTCAGGATTTGAACCCAAATCTTTCAATTCTGAATACAGTGTTTTCTATTGCAGGTGCCATTGCACTGTAATTTACTTTGTGTCCTACAAGGGCTAGTAATGAGGAGAATGATATTGCTTATGAAATAATGAAAAATAGTCCATCAAGTATTAAATCAAATGGGTTCTTACTTTTTACTTTATGAAGAAAGTTTATTCTTTATTTAAATAAAATTGTCATTTTTACCATATTGTTTTGAAAAAATATTTCTTCTCATTGAAAAAACTACTTATTTTTTTGGGGGTGTAGCAGCATAGTCCTAGGTACTTTTAAAAAAACTTGTCATCCTCAAATAAAATTAATACAAAATTGTGACAGTATAGTCCAGCAACTGTTACTTCCTTTTACCTCTTCAGACATCTTTGCTAGATTTTCCTCTATGTTTTTCCCACTAATTGTAGGTGTCCCTAACTGTGGCTGGCCCTCCTAACACTGTAAGGCTTTATCCTGGGCCCTCTTCTCTTCTCCCTTTATACTGTCTCTATCAGTAATCTCATTAGGTCCTATGCGTTCAATTAAATCCCTATGCTAATAATACCAGATTTTATTTTTCCATTGCTGTCCTCTATCCTGACTTCCACTCTCATATCACCAATGTGAGATATCTCAAATTGGATGTTCCATAGAAATCTCCAACTCAACATATTAAAAAAACCAGAGCTTTTTATTTTCCCCCCAAACTCTCTCCTCTTACCAACTTTCACATTACTGTCAAGAACAACATCATTCTCACAGTCATCCAAGCCCTCAACCATGGAATCATTCTTTTTTTTTTAATAATTTACTTATTTTTAGTTTTCAAAATTCACTTCCATAAGATTTTGAGTTTTAAATTTTCTCCCCCTTCCTCTCTTCCTCCCTCCCCAAGATGGTGTGTAATCTGATATAGGCTCCACTTATACATTCATATTAAGCATATTTTCACATTAGTTATGATGTATAGAAGAATTAGAACTAATGGGAGGAACTGTGAGAAAGAAGAAATAAAATAAAACAACAAAAGAAAAGGAGAGCGAATAGTATGCTTCCATCTGCATTCAGACTCCATGGTTCTCTTTCTGGATATGGATAGCATTTTCCATCATAAATCTTTTGGAGTTGTCTTAGATCCTTGCATTGCTGAGAAGAGCTAAGTCTATCAAGGTCAGTCATCGCATAATGTGGCTATTATTGTATATAATGTTCTCCTGGTTCTGCTCATTTCACTCAGCATTAGTTCATATCAGTTCATATAAAAACCTTTCCAGGTTTTCTGAAGTCTGCCTGCTCATCATTTCTTATAGCACAATAGTATCCTGTTACATTTATATACCACAACTTGTTCATCTATTCTCCAATAGATGGGCATTCTCTCAATTTCCAATTGTTTGCCACCGCAAAAAGAGCTGCTATTAACATTTTTGTACATGTGGGTCCTTTTCTCTTTTTTATGATAGCTTTGGGATACAGATGTAGAAGTGGTATTGCTGGGTCAAAGGGTATACACAATTTTATAGCCCTTTGGGCATAGTTCCAAATTGCTCTCCAGAATGGATCAGTTCACAACTCCACCAACAATGCGTTAGTGTTCCAATTTTCTCACATGTTCTCCAACATTTATCATTTTCATGGTATCATTCTTTTTTTTTACCTTTTTATTTATTTTTAGTTATCAACAATCACTTCCATACACTTTTGAGTTTTAAATTTTTCTCACCTCCCTCCATAAAACAGCATGAAATCTGATATAGGTTATACATATACATTCCTATTAAACATCTTTTCACATTAGTCATTCTGTAAGGAAGAATTAGAACCAATAGGAGGAACTGCAAGAAAGAGGAAACAAAACAAAACAGAAGAAAAAAAGAGCAAATAGTATGCTTCAATCTGCATTCAAACTCCATAGTTCTTTCTCTGGATGTAGATAGCATTTTCCCTCATGAGACTTTTGGGGATGTCTTAGATCCTTGCATTGCTGAGAAGAGATAAGTCTATCAAAGTTAATCATTGCACAACATGGCTGTTACTGTGTACGATGTTCTCCTGGTTCTGCTCACTTCACTCAGCATCAGTCCATACAAGTGTTTCCAGGTTTTTCTGAAGCCTGCCTGCTCATCATTTTTTATAGCACAATAGTACTCCATTATATTTATATACTACAACTTGTTCAGCCATTCCCCAATTGATGGGCATCCCATCAATTTCCAGTTCTTGACCACATGGTATCATTCTTGAGTCTTAATTTGCAGTCGTCCCAAAGTGAAATGGGAAGAACATGTTTAGAGCAATGAACGTTTCCCAGCCCTTATATCTGCTTTTGGGACAGTACAATGGAAAATGAGGAGCAGTGTGCCCTGTTGGATGAAGAACTTTCCTTCAAGCCAGGAAGACTTGATTATTTCAAGTCCTATCTCAGATGAATACAGGCTATATGACCTTGGCAAGTCATCTGATCTCTCAGGACTCTAGAGTCTAGATAACAGATAGCTCTCTAAGGCTCTAAGTGCTAGAAAAGTTGCTGACCTGGATCAGTAGAGCTCTTTTTCATCTGACTGAGAATTCCTTTATCAATAAAATACCAATTAGTCACTATCCCTACCCTAAAAAGTATAATTATAATTTTAGAATGTATCCAAACACCTCACATTTATACAATGTTAATAATATAATTCAATATTAATAAAACAAATGGCACATGACCCTAAGGCAGCTATAGAAAGATGGATACTTCCTTGTCAAAAAGGAAGAAGATTGATAGATGTTCTCAGGGCACGGTATAAATAAATCAATCAACAAGTATTTATTAAGCACCTACTATATATCAGACACTTTGCTAGGTATATAAGTGCACATAATAAAAGAGTCCCTACTCTTAATAAGCTTATGTTCTAATGGTGGAGATAATAATTATATGTAAAAATAGACACAGCAGAAATATACAGTGAATAAATGTAAATATATCCCAAAGTATTAAATACAAGCTTATTTGAGAGGGAGGTTACTAGTAGCTGGGAAGATCAGGAAAGGCCTCATGCAGAGGACAATGCCTGAGTTGCATCTTACAGTAAGAGGGGGACTCTATGAGGTGAAGGTGAGGAGGGAGGATATTCCAGGCATGAGGAATGGTCAGTGAAAAGGAAGGATAGGCCCAGACTTGGGGAACATTGCACTGTATATGAGGAACAGAGAGAAGCCAGTTTGGTTAGATCTCACACTGCAGGACGAGAGTACCATCCAATGAAGCTGTCAAGATAGATTGGGGCCATATTATGTTGGGCTTTAAATGCTACACCGTGGGGCTTGTGATGTGTCCCAGAGTTAACAGGAGGCCCCTGGAATTGGAAAAGTGTGGGAGTGACATGTTCTACACTTAAGAAAAGTTGCTTTGGCAGCAGTGGGTAGGCTGGGAGACATGAGGTAGGGAGACCAGTTAGGGGATGGTTAAATATCAAGTTCTGAGTCTGGCACTTATTGGCCATGTGACCTTGGGCAGGTCACTTCAACTCCTTGGGTCTCAGTTTCCTCCTGTATGAAATGAGAGGGTTCGACTGGATTATCTCGAAAGTTTCTTCTAGCTCTACATTCTCTGATTCTACCTATGCAATGAGCTCTTTTGAGTACACCACACTGTCCTTCCTTGAGGGGAAAAGATCACAACTGCATAGACACAGCACAATATGTGTATATGTGTATGTTTGTGTATGCATGTGTGTAGGAAAGTCCTTGCTGAGTTTGCTACGGACAGCAGTCCCATTCATTAGATAATTTTATTTGAGTTTTGGAGTTTTTCTAGTACCAGCTGGAGAGCAGTTTCATTCTTTCTGACTCACTGCATCCCTGTGGTTTCCATAACAGAGCCCAGACTATGGAAATTTGGGACATGACAGGTTCAGAGCTATTCACCACTTTCCCCATTACTGGCTGCTCTGGCATCATCCTATAATTTGCTGCCTCTTTCCACAAGTCAGGGGAGGGATGATACATAGCTCTCTTTTTCTTGAGGATGTATTTTAGGCTCTGAATATTGTAGTCAGACATAACACAATTAAACAATTTCAACTCAGCAAATATGTTTTTTTCCAGTGATCTTTCCTGCTGTAAAGTTACTGACACTCTGAACCTGAACATATTGAATGTTAACCAAATAACTTTTGAAGTACATCTTGCTACAATATTTCAGAGTCCAATTCTTATTCTTTAGGTGTCAATCAGGGAAAGACTGGTGGTATTTTGGAGAAAAATGTGAGAATAAGGGCTCCACCAATGACACCATCATTGTAACAGTCTCATCCGCTGCAGCTGTGTTTGTTGCTATGCTGATAGTGACTCTTGTGAGTGTCTACTGTGTTAAGAAGAAATACAGCTCAAGGAGCAATGCCAATGCGTCGAAAAAGACCTTCAAAAATGTAAGTATGCAATAATGTAAAAGAACAAAAAATGGCAAAAGGAAATCATACGCTGAGTCATCATAATGAAACATAATCTTAGTCCCAGAGAATAGATAATGAAATATGTAACCCCTCCTCTTAGTGCAGATGTGTGGGACTATAGGAGCAGAAAAATACTTGTGGTCATTATTGTGTTTGCTTTTACATGATTGTTTTTCTCGGTTATGAGTGAGGGTTCAGTTTTGGAGGGATACAGAAATATATAAAAAAATTAAAAACAAATTCATCAATGGAATTTTTTTTTTGAGCTAGGCAATGGGGTTAAGTGACTTGCCCAGGGTCACACAGCTAGTAAGTGTTATGTGTCTGAGGCTGGATTTGAACTCAGGTTCTCCTGAATCCAGGGCCAGCGCTCTATCCACTGTGTCACCTAGCTGCCCCAATGGAACTTATTTTTAAAAAGAAAGACACAGACTGTATGCATAGGGCTCCAAGGATTTCCTTCTAGCTTCTAAGACTTTTTTTTTTCTTTCTAGGTGTAATAAATTTTGACAGATGATGTTGTTATCCTCATTCTACAAAAGAGGGAAATGAGGAGATGGGTCATTTCCACTAATCTTCTTCCTCTTCTTCTGTAGTACTTCTTGCTTCCCATTGAACCTATGGAAGGGATAGAGAGTATGACGTCACTATTTAGAAAGAACAGAATATGGAGTTCGTTAGCTATCTTCTCCCTCATCTCCTGCGTGCAGACTCACACTTTCTCTGAGGAAGGCATGAGAGATGATGGTGGTGATTAAGTGCTGGGAGGCAGTGTGGTTCAGGGGAAAGAGCACTGACATGAGAGCGTCTGGTACATTCAGATCCTGTCTGATTCTTACCACCTGTGTGACCTTGGACGATTAACTTCATCTCCTTGCACCTGTTGGCTCCTCCCTAAAGTGAGGGGGTGGGACTAGATGGCTGCTGAGATGCCTTCCAGCTTTACATAGCTGAGCCTCTTTAAAGGCCTTTCTTGTTGGTCAAACCCATGTTGAGAAAGGCTTTGGAGCTCATCCTGCTGGAGAAGATTCCTAAATGTTTTATGCAGGGTTAGTAACAAGTAGATGCAAGGATCAAGCTAAGGTCTTTGTGATTGGGCCCACATAATTCACAGATTTCAAGTCACCCGGGTTCTCATCATTGAGGGTCATGCTTGATGCCTCACTTTCCTTCACCCGTCCCCTCTCACTTAGTTGCACAGATATGATGTTTCTATCCCCCCAAGATCTCTCGTGTTCACCCCTTTCTTTATGCTTCAAGAGCCACCACCCTGGACTATTATGATAGCCTCCTAATTAGTCTCCTTCCCTCAAGCCTCTCCTCACTCCAATCCATCCTCCACAGAGTTGCCAAAGTGATTTTCCTAAATCATGTTACCCCAGTATTCAATAAACTACAGTGAATCAAAACCTCTAGAATCAAAACCAGATTTCTCTCCTTGGCATTTAAAGCCCTTCACACCTTGATTCTGGTGGACCATTTCAATTTTATTAGACACTATTCTCTATGCGCGCAATGTTCTACCAGTCAGGCCTACTTGCTGCTACTCACAATCGACTCTCCATCTCTCATCTGGCCTTGCACTAGGCTTCTCCCCTTTTCTGTATCTCTGCTCAATTCTTCTTCTGCCTGAGGCCTTTCTTGGTCTCCTCAGCTGAGGGTAACTTGTATGTATAATATGTATACACATCTATGTATGTATATAGACACAGATGTGTGTACATATTAACATACATATGAACACATATACTCACATGTGTATGTATGTATATATGTTTCTTTTGCCTCTCTTATTAGAAGGTAAGCTCCTTGAGGACAGTGACTTTTGTTTTTGTCTTTGTATCCTTATTATCAAGTAAAGAGGCTGTAAGATAATAGCCACTTAAGATACTTAATGAATTCTTTATTTTCTTTTTTGTGAGGCAATTTGGGGTTAAGTGACTTGTGCAGGGTCACACAGCTAGTAAGTGTCAAGTGTTTGAGGTCAGATTTGAACTAGGGTCCTCCTGACTCTAAGGCCAGAGCTCTATCCACTGTACCACCTAGCTGCGCTGACTCACTTAATAAATTCTTGATTGTTTTATTGAGATTAATATGGGGGGGGAAGAATCAAGAAATGATGGAAGGAAGAAAGAGAAAGAAAGAGATAAAGGTAAAAACTTAGGAGATCAATAAAGTCAGTAATAACCTCTTGTAGCACATGGCGCCTGAGTTATAGTTTATGTTAAATGCGAGATTCTATAAGACAGACTGTATAAGGAATGTATTGCAGGCATGGGGGATCATTTGTGCAAAGGCACAGAGAGATAGAACGTCATATATGAATCATGTATGTAGAAGGGTTAGCAGACCACTTGGGCTATAATAGGGATTTCATGAAGGAGAATACTCTGAAATGAGACTGGAGAGTTGGCAAGAGCTAGATGGTAAAGGGCTTTAAATGCCTGGCATTTTGGATTTTGTCCTAAAAGCAATTAGGAAGCATTGAAAATAAATTTTGAGTGGTGGGAGGCAGCATGACGTTTAGTCTCTGCATTAGCAATAAGAATTGAAAACCACACAGTGGATGGATTGAAAAGGGAAGAAAATGAAGGCAAGAAGATTAATTAGTAGGCCATGGCAAGAGTCCAAGTGAAAGATAGTCACCATGGTTGATAGAATCCTGTACCTGGGGTCATGAAGTTGTTGTTTAGTCATTTTTCAGTGGTGTCTGACTCCTTGTGACCTCATTTGGGATTTTTTTGGTAAAGATACTGGAGTGGTTTGCCATTTCCTTCTTCAGCTCATTTTACAGATGAGGAAATTGAGGCAAGCTGGGTGTAAGTGACTTCCCAGGATCATATAGCCAGATTTGAACTCAGAAAGATGAATTTTCCTGACTCCAGGCCAAGCACTCTATCCACTCTGCCACTGACCCCAATTCAAATCTGACCTCAGATACATACTAGCTGTATGACCCTGGGCAAGTCATTTAACCTCTATCTGCCTCAGTTTCTTCATTGGTAAAATGGGAATAATTGTACCTACCTCCTCAGATTGTTGTGAGGATTAAATGAGACACTATTTGTAAAGTGCTATGTAAACCTTTAAGTCTTATATGAATACCAGCTCTTATTATTAAGGTGATGAAGGCTTGAATTAAGGTGATGGCCATGTGAGAAAGAAAAGTCAATCATTCAAGAGATATTGTGAAGGTAATATTAACAAGACCTGGCAACTGAGTAGATATAAAACAATGTATAGTTTAGGAAGGTTCCAGTGTTACAAGCCACAGTGACTAGAGGGATGGTGACAGCTTCAAGAAAAATGGGGGAATTTGGAACAGAAAAAATTTAAGGGGAAGACAATAAGTCAGTTCATATTCTACACAGTTGCCAAAGCAATATTTCTCAAATACAGGCCTAATATTGTCACAACCCCGCCCAATAAACTCCAGTGACTCCTTACTGCTTCTGGTTTCAAATAAAAACCCCTTTGTTTCACATTCAAAACCCTTCACAATCTTGTTCCAGCCTACCTTTCCGGACCTACTTTTTTCTCCTCTTCATGCATTCTACAATTCAGCCAAACTGGCCCAGTAGGTCTCCCTTACCTAAGATATTTTGTATCTCATCTCTGTTACTTTGCACAGGCTGACTCTCATTCCTAAAATGCTTTCCCTCCCCAACTTTACCTCTTAGAATCCCTCAGCTCCTTTAATATACACTTCAAGAATCACCTTTCACTTGAGACCTTTTCTGATCCTTCTAGGTGCTAGTACTTTCCCCTTGAAATTAACATATTTATTTTATGTTTTGTAAAATTACATGTATCTCTTTTTCACATATTAGAATGTAAGCTCCTTCAGGACACAAAATGTCTGTCCCGTTTTTGTCTTTGTATCTCTGGCATCTAGCACAATGTCTGGCACAAAAAAGAAGTTTAAAGATTGCTGAGTCTGGAATAAGGGGCCCTGGGTTCAAAGATCACTTCTGATGCTTGTGTCTAGTATGACTTTGGCCAAGTCCAGTAACCTCCCTGGGCCACAGTTTTCTTGCCTATTAGATAAGGATATTTTTCTAGATGGCCTCTGAAATCTCTTTCATTTCTAGATTCATGATTCTATGATCCTATGATTGATTGTTAGAAATGGAATTTGAGATTGATTGGTCACGTTGAGGTTGAGATGCTTACATGACATCCACGTGAACTAATAGGTAACATGGAACTTTAGGAGATAGAGTAAAGATGAATATGTATATATGCATATACGCACATATGTGTGTCATAAAGTTATAAAGAAAGCACAGAAATGGATAATGGGTAAATGGATAGAAATGATGATTACATAATAAGAATTAAAAAGGCAACATCAAAAGAATGTAGACAGAGAAGCCCAACCCTGAATCTCAGGGAACGCTTATATATTAGCCAGAAAGGGAGTCATATTTCTTTATCAGATCCCATTTTATAGTTGATTTATCTACAGTTGTGGCAGAAAATATTTCTAAGTTTATCCACAGCAAGGCATAACAAAACAATCAATTTAGTTAACAGGCTTATCATTTTTGAGATAAAAGTGTACCAGAAAGTTTTACAGAGTCTAAAGATTGTTTTATGGATGTTAAATCTGATACTAAAAGATTTACATATGCTGATACCAGATCCAGTGGGTCAATATCCTGAAACTTCTTCCTGCAGCTAAGGTTGGAAGGTTGGTAGGGTTGAATGGAATCAAAGTCAAGGTTGAGAGTGGAACTCAAGAAGAGAAGCATGTGACCAGAAAAGAGAGGGCTACTTATGTTAGGCAGATGAGGCAAGCCAAGATATTTCCCAGTAAAAGTGCAAGTATTACTTAAGATATGGAAAATTTCTGGTAGGCAATAAAACGGATCATCATTGTCATCATCATCATCATAGCATGTATAAACACACACACACACACACATACACATACTTAACTCATTATCTTTCTATCTAAACTCTCCTCTTCATAA